CAGCTCTTTTCCCTATCAATAGGAAGCGAATGTTTTTTGAAACATTCAAATCGGTTGATCCGTGCGCCCTAAAACGTGACTGGAAATTTGTATCCATACATACATACACACACACACATCCATTTTTTCTGAGGTATGCCAAAATGTTCAGAAACCTTCAAAACGTCGAGAAATGTAAAAATTTTCAATTTCGATTTTCGGCCCATTACAATAACTTACCCTACGGGAAGTTAATAAACCTCATATTCTAAAATTTAAATCCATCCACTCACCTGCCATTTGTATATTAAATATAACCCACTGATCCTTCCCCGGCATATCCTTCAATGTGGCAGTCCCTGGCAAATCGACATCTTCATCAGCACCAGCACCAACAGCATAATTCTTCGAGACATCTGCACCAGTCTTATTATAACTATAATCATCTTCCTCATCATCAGTACTGTTATTATCGAATCCCAAACTAATCATATTATCACTCCTCAGATTCCTTTTCCTGTCGTACTTCATATTTTCTGGACAGACCAACCACTTCCTGGGCCTGGTGTTGTTGAAGTCTTTCTCTGATTCAGTGGTGTAACTTAAAGGAACGTACCAGCATTGTTTATTGTCAGAAGAATCATCTTTGTATGTTGCATTTTTGCAGGAGTTGTTTCGGAACATGCGTTGCAACAGGTAACGCTCCTGGATAAAGGATAATGGTAATAAAATATTAAACAGGTTTAAAAACTATCTTTTACCCTTTACCTGTGTGATGTAGGCAGTGTCTTTCTCATAGTTCCTTTTAACGTTAATAAGGGGATAACCAGTCTGCAGAGTCCAGGAATCCATTATAGTTTTTACTCCATCATCCCTGCTCAAAATTTTGAGGTCGTCCTGTGTGCACTTGGTTTCATTTTTGTCCAATTTCTTTCTATAACTTGCTGATAGGTGCTTCCATAAATCGTCCTTTTGGGCATTAGAATAAGCGTGCTCCGATAAATAACTGGAAAAGGAAAAAATGATAAATTTTTGCACTCGGACTGATTTGTCTACAAAGTGAGTTACTAGGGTTTATACAAAAACCAACATTTCAGAAAACCGGTTTTCGAATTTTCATTTTACTAAAAAACCGGTTTTCGAATTTTATATAAATAATAAATTTTTGTTCGAATATTTTGTAATTTATCCGCAAATTTAGTGTAATTTAGAGTAGTATTTGACTGAATTTATTTATTGTTCAATTTTATAGATAGTAAACAAAATTATTTTAATTTTAATTAGAAGAACTAAAAAATAATAGTTTATCCTGATTAAATAACTTTGAAAATAATTATTCGTTATTCATGCATCATTTTCACATATAAGAATGAAAATATTTTTATGATAGTCAAAGGAAAGCTTTCGAATAAATAAAAATAATACATTTAAATAAAAAAAATTTATTAAATAAAAAAAAAATAAAGAAATATTAGATACATGTTGATACATACTTGTTAATATCAATTTTAGTTTCAAAAACAATTAGGGTAAACTATTATTTCTGTTCCAAGCAATTTTAATTAATTAATTTTAAACATTTTAATTATTTTTTGTTTAATAATAATATGATTCAAAACGTCTATCAAATTGCTACTTAGACATGTCCTTTGTTTACTCACAAAATTTCCTGAAATAGAAAATACTCTTATACTTGCGACCAAATTATGCTTAAATGTTTATAAAGCCTGATATAATAATTCTAAGTTTTTTGTTCTTTAGTTTATCGCTTCTAGAGGTTAAAACTCTTTTTTTTTTTAAGTTTGAGTAGAGGAAGTTACTTTTTCAAGAAAAAGTCACACTGATTTAAATTAATATATACACTGATATAAAAATCTAAATTAATATATACAAAACCTTTCTGGGAACCATTGCAGATTGATAAGATATCAATTGCTATTGAAACGATATGATTTAAAGAACCAAAACGCTTTCATCTATCTTTTATATTTGGCTATATTTGTCATTTTCCATTTATACAGTGAAAAACGACTTTTTTCACTAAAAAAACGGTTTTCGAATTCCATAATTTTTGTCAAAAAAAAGGGTTTCAAAACCGGTTTTTGAAAACAGACAAACCCTAGTGAGTACATTCTCATACTATTTGCACTACAACTGGTAAAATATTAATTGTATCTAAATACTGTCTTTGATGGACTAGTAGATAATAAAATTATCTTCAATTTATCTTAAAACAGTATCAACTTGCAATAATTAACTTCCAAATTATAAACAAAATTGTATAAAATTGTCACTCGCACTAATTTGTCTATGAAGTGAGTACACATTCTCATACTATTTGTACTACAATTGGCAAAATATGAATTACATCTAAATACCTTTTCAAGCCTAGCCTGAATATATTATCAGCCAAAATCAAATCCAGCATCCTCAAAATCATACTTCCTTTACTGTACGATATAGAATCAAAAATCTGGCCAATATCATTTGGATTAGCAATTTTTACAGACACCTAAACCAAAAAAAAAGCAATATATATCTGACCTAAATTACCAGAAAGTATAATTTCCATTTTTCACCTGATGGGATCCCTTCAAAGAGTCGACTTCCAGCAAACTCATGACCGTTTTGGCAGTGTTTTCCAGAAGAGAGTTCCATTCTGGATGCACTTGCTCCACTATTAGACCAGTGACGTAGGTGGTTACCCCTTCGTTCAACCATAAATCATTCCACCATTTGAGGGTGACTAGGTTGCCCAGCCACTGGTGGGTCAGTTCGTGGGCAATCACCTGGAAAAATAAAAATAAGACTAAAGATACTAAAACTTGTCTAAACTTTTCTGGGTAATGCAAAGGATTCTGAATTTTGATACTGGATACTGAGCAATTCAAAAAATAATAATTAGACTGGTATAAGTGGATGTTTACCTACCGAAACAATCGAATATCTACTCTTGGTGTCACTCGCAACATCATCGTACAGGAGTAAAGACTCTCTAAAAGTCACTGCTCCCCAATTCTCCATAGCACCTAAAATTTTACAATTGATACAATTAATGGTAGTTTCTGCATTGCAGTTTTCTGTGACTTGTCCAAAGCTTTTGATTGCATCTCTCATGAAATTTTTTTAAACAAGTTCGAAAAATACGGTGTGCATGGTAAAGCTCTTGAATTATTTTCATCGTACTTATCAAATAGGACTCAATCTGTTTATCTGAATGATCGTGGTTGAGTAATTATCTCAGACAAACAAAATATTAAGCTTGGTGTCCCTCAGGGCTCAATTCTCGGACCATTATTATTTCTCATCTACATAAACGATCTGCCAAAATGTACAGACCTCTGTAAATTTATTCTTTTTGCCGATGACACTAGTGTGATTATAAAAAGCAATTCTTCAGAAGAAGTGAATAATAAATTAATACTAATTATGAATTGATTAAATTCTAATAATCTTTTGCTCAATATAATGACAAAACCCAAATTATGTCTTTTCGAACAGTAAATAGGATAAGTCATGAGATCAATTCTTTAACTATCAATAGCATTAAATTTGAATTTTCCTCAGTCTCAAAATTTCTAGGCATCCAATTACACAAAAACTTAAACTGGGACAATCATATTCATTCCATACTTGTACCTAAGTTAACAAAAAGCTGTTTCATGTTGAGGATTCTAAAATCTAAATTTAGTTTAAATTGCCTTCTTTAAATTTATTATTCTAATTTCTATTCCATCTCGCATATGGAATACAATTCTGGGGATTCTCGTCATCCTTAAAGGATATATTCAAAATACAGAAAAGAGCATTAAGAATATTTTTTTCCCTCAGTTCCTTGCACTCATGTAGGAATCTTTATCGACTATTTAACATTCTCACTGTTCCCTATATATTTTTGCTAATTACGTTGTCATTCATTAAGATAAATCCTGAACGCTTCAACCTATCCTCCATGTTGAATTTCTATTAAAAAACAAGAAATTTGACTATAAAAGGACCAACTTTTAAACTTGAAACATCTTTCAATACCATAGACGGAAGAGGAGTACAGCTTTTTAATCTATTCTCACTATATGTTAGGAAATTGAATGATCGTCAATTTCATAATAGCATTCTTAAACTTTTAAAAGCCCAAAGTTTCTACGAAACTTCTGAGTTTGCCAATTTCGATATCAAACATTATTTTGATAATGAAATGCCTACTGATAAATATTTGATACGTTTTTTTTAGTTTACAGTTACTATTATTTTTTCCCTTTTCCATACTTTTTCTAATTTTTATTCCAAATTATTTTAACACTTTTCTAACCTTAGTATATTATCATTAAAATTATTTTCATATTATATATTCTTTTTTGATACTGCTCTTAATTATTATTTTCCAGATATGGGACTCAAATAAAAATTGCATAACGGATATTTAAAGGATTTTTTTTACCATAAGAAGAATCTCAAGATCTACGTTGGACTACAAGCCTTATATAAACTATTTCAATATTATAACATTTTTTCTTCAAGTTATTGTATTAGATAATATTAACGTTAGGCTTAATATTATTTTATTGTTGTATTTTACTGTCATTAATTCAATTAAGATAATTTATTTTCTGTAATTACTAAATTCAATCCTGTATATGTAATATAAATATAAATATAAATAAATATAAATATAATCTGATGTAAAATAAGGTACCATTTCATTGTCAATTTTATTACCTGCAGAAAATTCCGGCACTGCAATCATTTTAACGGGCCACTTTTGGAGGGCATATGGTGTGTATAAATACTGGGTCAATTCGTTGAGGATGTTTGGAGACTCTCTGAGGGCAAAATTGGTCTGTAAGTAAGGACAAATATTAGAATTTTTAAAAGAGTACATGTGTTGAATTCTTTTGTGCCCCAATTGTAACATTTTTAGACTACAATTTACAACAATTCCAGACAGTTCACAATATTCATAGATACCTCACAATCTATAATATTTTAGTCAAGTCGAAGAAGTGTTTTACATATTTTTTTACCTGGTTGATGGCCCTTGGCATAGCGTAGACCTCAAATTTGTAATCAAATTTTGTAACATCCCTAACTTCAAAATCCGAGACCATGAAAAACACCAGGTATGTCGACATTTTTGGAGTTGTTGTGAAATTCGTCCACAGCCAATCTGGATTGTCCATCCTGAAGAAATAGACCAGCAACTTAATATTAGGGACAACTTAGAGGCTTATTAATGATTGACAGATAAATAAGTAGACAGATAGGCTGGTGGATAGGTATATCTAGTTCTTTTATCTACTCACATTTCAGTGATGCTAACAGCTGGTGCATTACTAATGGCCCTGTACTTTTTTCGATGTAACATATTAATATCGAAAGTTGCCTTCATGTCAGGTTCATCAAAACAAGGAAAAGCCCTCCTGGCATCTGTGGGTTCAAATTGGGTCACCGAAAGCCACCTGAAAAAATAAAATTTGGTCAAATTGAACCTTTTAACCCTATATCCATCACCCACTCACTCTTTTTCACCATTCTCCTTCTTATAACTGCATCTATAATATCCCGACAGGGTCTCCTTAATCAGTCCAGTAAATTTTATCATCACCACATAAGTTTCTCCTACATTCATTTCCTGATTGAGTTCAATTCTATAGAAGTCGTTCTGAGCGGTTTCATTGACTTTTGGCAAGTACCCTGCACTTTTGACCAGGTTCTCACGGTCGATCCAGGCCAAGGTGTTGTTGGTGGACTTTTGTTTGCGTTCCACATGGTTGGTCATGATTTCCAACACTTGGAGGTTTTTTTCGTCGATATCCAGCTCGAGGGCGTGCAGGATGATTTCTTTTGTTGGACGAACACATCTAACCTGGATAACAGACATAATGAATATTTTCTGGATGTTTCGATTATTTTGACGCCAAATTTCGAACAAATCTGCATGTGTAAAGCAACTTGCCTTTAGGCAAAAAGCCCCTTACATCAATTTTTCTTTGTATTGAATTATGTTCTTTTCGAACAGTGAATAGGATGGGTCATGAGATCAATTCTTTAACTATCAATAGCATTCAATTTGAATTTTCCTCAGTCTTTAAATTTCTAGGCATCCAATTACAAAAAAACTTGACCTGGAACAATCATATTCATTCCATACTTGTACCTAAGTTAACAAAAACCTGTTTCATGTTGGGGATTCTAAAATCAAAAGTTAGTTACGTTGTCATTCATAAAGAAAAATCCTGAACGCTTCAACCTATCCTCCATGTTGAATTCCTACTATAAAACAATAAATTTGACTATGAAAGAACCAACTTTTAAAATTGAAACATCTTTCAATACCATAGACGGAAGAGGAGTACAGCTTTTTAATCTACTCCCACTATATGTTAGGAAATTGAATGATCGTCAATTTCATAGTGCCATTGTTGAACTTTTAAAAGCCCAAAGTTTCTACAATACTTCTGAGTTTGCCAATTTCGATATCAAACAATATTTTGATAATGAAATGCCTACTGATAATATTTGATACTTTTTTTTCCAACAGTTGAAATTATTTTTTTTCTTTTCCATACTTTTTCTAATTTTTATTCAAAATTATTTTAACATTTTTCTACCCTAAGTATATTATTAGTACAATTATTTTCATATTATATTCTTTTTTGTTACTGCTCTTAATTTTTATTTTCCAGATATGGGACTCAAATAAAAATTGCTCAACGAATATTTAAAGGATTTTTTTTTACCATAAGAATGTCAAGATCTACAAGCCTTAAATAGACTTTTTCAATATTATAACTTTTTTTTCTCCAAGTTATTGTATTAGATATTACTAATGTTAGGCCTAATATTGTTTTATATTTGTATTTTACTGTAATTAATTCAATTAAGATAATTTATTTTCTGTACTTACTAAATATAATCCTGTATCCGTAATGAAAATATAAATATAAATAAATATGTAAAGTAGATATATAAAAGTAGAAAACGAGTTTAGTTAATATTCACTCTAGATATTATTAATTGTAATTATGTGATTATGGCAATAAGGGTGTACCAGATGCTAAGATAATAAATTGCATCAGCACTCAAAAAGTATCTCGACAATTGGAGAATATAAAATATGTGAATGTGAATCAAGTCATATTACTTTTACAACAAAAAATCAAGAATAGCTGAAAATAAATAATTCGGAAATATGAAAGGATATAATGTCTGGATTGAATCACAAAACTGAAGATTGATTTCGAGTACACATTCATTGATAAATTTAATAAAAAATGTTGATACATTTTTTTCAAATATTGGTATACATAAATTGGTTGGCAAAAATGTTTTAAGAAACAAAGATTGAGATTGTAAAAATGCTTGCGCAAATAATGTCTATGGAGATAAATGAAGTGAGATACTTATATTAATAGCAAAATATATTATATTGTAATAATAAGTATAATATTGGCATATATTTATATGAAACATTAGAGACTGTCATGTTTGATTTATATTTAATAAGTTTAGATATTTTATATTGATTGATTAGCTTGCAAATATTAAAAAATGTCAAAGTAATTCTTACCATGCACATCCGAGTCTAAGAAAAAATATATGAAAAAGCATTGTGTTAGGTTCAGACAGCATGGCAAGCACTCATGATGTTCTTCTGAATATTGCTAAATTCCGATTCTTATTATTAAGTCTGGTTGCAACTTGCGTTAAGGTTTATCTATTTTTTACTTACCGCAATGGCAATTTGTCCACTAAACGAATAGTTCATGGCCTCATCCAGGTAAGTGATCAGATTCAAATGGTAATGTTGAGGCACCACATTTCTGGGCAACCTGTAGATGTTGTTCTCGTCCAAATCACAGGTTTCATTCTGCACATTGTCTAAAGAACTGTTTATACTGACAACTATGGATGTGATATCTGGTCTCAACTTGTGCATCGGAAGATCATCATGCTTGGTGGTCGATGTTGATTCATCATGATCAACAGTTGTTTTTTCAGTCGCCAAAGTTGTTGCAACTTCTTCAGTTGCCAATGTTGTTGTAGTTTTTCAGTTGCCATCGTTGTTGTACTCTTTTCAGTTGCCAACTCAGTAGTAGCATCTTCAGAAGTTTCATTATCATTCGGACAAGTTGATGAACTAACCTCATGAACAGTTGTCATCATTTCCTTATCATGGTTGACATGCGTAATATTCTTGAGCTTCTGGACAATCCTGGTTACATTCTTTGGAATTTGTGAAATCTTCTCCGAAATTATGTGCTTTAGCTGGTTGATGACATGGTTGTAGTCGTGTTTCTGGTTATGAAAGATGTTTTCGGAACTATTTGTTGCAGGAACTGTGTAGGAAAATAGTGGCTCATCGTCTTGATCTTCGTCCTGGTGTTTGCACAGAGAAGTCGTGGTAAGGATCAGGATGAAGATGATGATAGACGAGCTGGCGGGCCAAGACATTTTGGCAACTTTTGGCTGATTGTGCCACCTAGAACAAAAAATAGAAATTAGATAAAATTATCAGAAATTAGTCTTAAGATTTTTTTCTTGAAACCTTTGTTTCAGATTCCAGATATTCCGTTCATGTGTTTTATTATTTTAGATAAAAATATATTTATTACTTTATTATTTTATATCCATGCTTAATTTTGCTTCAAAAATATTTTTTTTAATAAATAAATAAATAAAACTTCTCAATACATTTAAATATTTTGATTTGATTATGAAATAATATAGGTACAAATAACATACTAAAAATATTATAAAAAAATAGCTTTTATATTATAAAATTTATATTTTGTATTAAAAAAAATAGACATTTTGACAATTGTGTTTTGACGTTTCGCAATCATGAAATTTTGTTTTAATTAAATTTATTTATTTATTTATTTATACACCAAAAATCAAATTGTTTGCTGTTGAGAGTGTTCTATGTAGAAAGACTAAAATAATAAAATTATTTTACAGTTATTGAATTTTTTTTGTCAGTATTAAATAAATATCACATTTTAATAGCTATTTTAATCAAAACGGATTTTAGTATTTTTAGTACATTATTGATAATTATAAATTAATACATTTAATTAGTGACAAACTAATAACTAATTATTTTTTATTATAAATTTATAATTATAATAACCATTTGAACAATAATAATAATACGTTTGCTTAACTGTACTTGGGAATTCTAATCACGTATATATATATATATATATATATATATATATATATATATATTTCTACAGTATATTTAAGAAATAAGAATACATAAAGCACGACGAAGCATGCAATCATAAAAAATATTTATTGAATAAATTACGCCGGTGGTACGTGAATAAAATATTTGATGATATATTTGACACAAATAGATTACATATATAGTATATATATATATTAAAATCAAGCTTCGTATAAATTTTCAAGTAAATACATACCATTTTATAACTGTTTTCTTTCAAACAATAACAAATTTCTGTAATTAAAATTTTATCTTTGTTTAAATGTCATGTACCATCTTTGTTTAAATGTCAAAATAAGTGACATGAACTTGTTGCTGCAATAAGTTTTGGCGCGAAATTTGAAATTTAAATTTGATTTGAAATTTAAATGTAAATTAACTTCCTAATAAACATTTTTACCATCAAACGTCTAACCAAAGGACTAATATTGATCAACTGTCAAATTTTCAAGATATTTAAAGAAAGGTAGAAAAATCCATTGCATTTACCGTTTTATTCATAACTTTTATTTAGGACTGTATAAAGTGTTCCCTACAGAATGTTGTAAAATTTTTCTAATTTCACCCCATCTAACTGAAAAGGGTGGTTCCATATGAAATATTTGAGTTATGTGACAAAACCAAAAAAAATCCCGAATTTTTTAATCATTCAAATCAAATATTAAATATCAAATTCAAAGTTGATTTATTCAAAACTTTTATATCGGACTGTATAAAAGTGTTCCCTACAGAATGTTGCAAATTTTATCTAGTTTCTGCTGTTTTACTGCAAATTTTCCAGATATTTAGAGAAATGTAGAAAAATGTCTCGAAATTTCCACATAAATCCGGCCTTTGTATTATACAATTGAAATAACAGTTATTTGCATATATATATATATATATATATATATATATATATATATATATATGTGCATATATATTTATGTTTATAAGTCCGTTTATTTGTTTATATAAACTCCGTTGCTTTTGAATTGTTATTAAAATTAATTAAATTATATTATAGTAACTAATATTTAATTAACATCTATGAATATTTAAAACAATATATATATATATATATATATATATATATATATATATATTTGAATATAAGTATTTAATTATAATTGTATTTATTTGTTTATTTGAAATTCGCGCGTTTGAATTGCAATTCAATACGTCATGAAGTTGCTAACAATAAATACAAAAAAGAAAAAACAATTTACATATAAACAATTATTAAACATTCAAATAGTCAAATTTGAATGCGTAATAATTAATAAAATACTACAATATTAATAAATATTTAATTAACAAGTTTTAAATAATTTATTATAAATAAATAAATAAACAACTTCAGATTGCTTACGAACTGTTAAAGTGGCATTTGTGTTTTTCATCTAATTATTTGTTGCTTATTTTTATGTTATATATTTCGTGTGTGTAATAATAACATTTAACTGTGTAATAATAACATTTAACTGTGTAATCGTGTAATTAATTTATATAAATTAACACGTGTATAGCAAATCATAAATGATATGTTAAAAATATATAAATAAATTGCTTCAATGAAATAGCGGTTAACGAACTGTCAAAGTGAGGTTAGAGTCCCACGAGCAATTATTAATTATAATTATTAATCCGTAGGGTAAGTTGTAGTAATAGAAAAGAATCTTATTTATTTATCTTCACGTTTCAATGGTTTCTGAACATTTTGGCATACCTTAGAAAAAATTGATGTATGTGTGTGTGTGCGCGCGGATACAAATTTCGGGTCGACGATTTCGGGAACACCGATCAACCGATTTAAATATTTTAAAAAACGTTCGATTCGTATTGATAAGGAGACGTGCTTATTAAGTTTTTGGCGAAGGCAGGTCTAGCTGTTCCGATGAATACGGGGCAAAAAGTGCCAAAAATTTCGCCATACACCACTAGTTCACCAATTTGCACTATAAATATTAATTACTATGTAACTTACCTTTTTAATGAATTATCTACACACAAGAATTTCGTACAACTTTACACTTTCATGGTCAAACACTGAGTGAGGCAAATGACAAATAATATGAGAAAATGTCGTCACAAATACTAAGGAACGCCTTAAAAAGAAACATATTTTCATTTGGTACACACACTCGTAAATAAATAGGTATATATATATGCAGACATATACATATATACATTTATTATATATACAGACACAATTTCATTACTGTAGTTGAGTAGTCTTGCATATATTTTTCAAAAGACTTTTATGAAAACAGTTATTTCTTTAGTTTTGAATTTTAATGATTATTCTAGCAATTTTTCAAAATCTCACAAACATTTATGTTTACACTAGAAAATTCGATTTGCTAGCTTAATTTTTATTTTATTCATTCTTCAATTTATTCATTTATCTATGTACTTACTTATGTATATATATTATATATATATATATATATATATATATATTTATATATATATACATTTTTCTTTTTATTCCAATTTATTTATGTACACTTTCTATTGATTTATATTTTTTGTATTTAATCCTGTTTTTCTGCAGCTGGAAATTTTATTTAAATGGTCTTAAAATTTTAAACTAAGTATAATACACCGCTGATGAGACAAACCTAGTCCCGAAACGTTTGTAAAATTAATATTATTTATTAAATTAGTTTAGACATAGAGAAACATAATGAATTTGAAAATGCGCGCCTTTGTTAAATGTGAAAGCGTTATGAGAAGTGTCTCATCTTTCTGTAAGTATACTCTATGCTCCAAATGTCAAATAATAAATTTAATTTAAGTTGAAATCAGTTATTAATTGTTGATTAAACTATAAATTATTATTTAGCCTACACCTGTTTTGGAATTATTCCAATTATTTCGTAAATGAGTGTAAGCAGTTAAAAATGATAGAAGAAACAATTATGTCAATGAATGATCCGGCAATTAAAATAGAACCACAAGAATATTCAGAAGAAGACATTAAACAAGAAATTCAGGATGATATTGACGTTTTTGATGATATTTTTAAATCTGAATCGTGTTCTGAGGATGATGAAACCTGTTTACAAAGATTCATGAACTCTGAGGTGACTATTGAAGAAGAAGTTAAACAGGAGTTAGTCGAGACATCAGCTTATGAATGTGACATTTGTAATCAATTATTTGCCGAATCTGATCAATTAATAGAGCATATGGTCGATCACAAGCCTAGTAACAGCAAAGAACTCGTTTCAAATGCGAAATCTGTCATAAGACTTTCAAACCAAAACAGTATCTGATAACTCACATGCTTTTGCACAGTGGAGAACGCCCCCATGAATGCGGTACATGCAACAAGACATTCACACAATCAGGTGATCTGAGAAAACACATGCTGATTCACAATGGTGAGCGCCCCCATGAATGCAGTATATGCAACAAGACATTCACACAATCAAGTAATCTGTATAAACACATGCTGATTCACAAAGGAATAAGCCCCCATCAATGCGATGTTTGTAATAGGACATTCAAAGAATCAAGTAATCTGAAGAGACACATGCTAATTCACAAAGGACTACGCCCCCATGAATGTAATGTTTGTAATAAGGCATTCACACAATTAGGTACTCTGAAACAACACAAGGTGATGCACAAATCAATACGCCCCCATCAATGCGGTATATGCAACAAGACATTCACGCAATCAAGTAATCTGAATAAACACATGATCATTCATATTGGTGAGCGCCCGCATGAATGCACTTTATGCAATAAGACATTCACAGAATCGAGTAATCTGAGAAGACACATGCTAATTCACAAAGGACTACGTACCCATGAATGTAATGTTTGTAATAAGGCATTCACACAAGCAGGTTCTTTGAAAAAACACATGGTGATTCACAAATCAATACGCCCCCATCAATGTGATGTTTGTAATAAGACATTCACGGAGAAAGGTAATCTCAAACGTCACATGAAAATTCACAATTGAATTTATCTCGATGAACGATGAATTGAGTCTTCTGCAAAGACACATGCTGATTTATAACAGAAAGCATCCTTAAAAATATGAAGTATTCTATAAGGAATTTACTCAATTGAATTATTTGAAAACATGGCAATTTACAGTCGAAAATGTTATAATAATCAATGAAATATAAACATTTCTTAAATTAAATTTAAATATTAGGAAAAAAGTTATAAAATATGTAAAAGAATGTATAAAATAAACAGTAAACATCACATTATATTCATTTATTGTTAAACCAGGCAATTGTTACTTATTATATCACTTTATTGGTACTTTTTTAACTTCCCGTAGGGTAGTTATAGTAATGGGTCGAAAATCGATAATGAAAATTTATGCATTTCTCGATGTTTCAAAGGTTTCTGAACATTTTGGCATACCTCAGAAAAAATGGATGTGTGTGTGTATGTATGTATGGATACAATTTTTGGTCCACGTTTTAGGGCGCACGGATCAACCGATTTGAATGGTTCAAAAAACATTCGTTTCCTATTGATAGGGAAAAGAGCTGATTAGTTTTTGGCGAAGGCAGGTCCAGCCGTTTCGGAGATACGGAGCAAAGAGTGCAGAAAATAGAAATCGACTTTTTGAGAGAACGGAGCATCCGATTTGAATGATCTAAAAAACATTCAATTAGTAATGATTGGGAGGAAATGTCTATTAGTTTTTGGCAAAGGCGGGCCCAGCTATTTCGAAGATACGAGGCTAAATATGTAAAAAATGGCAGTTTATGAGAGAACTAAGCGTTCGATTTAAATGATTCAAAAAACGCTCTGCTTGTCTTAACAAAAAAATTGATTTTGGAAAAAAAATTGTTTCATTTTTTTTTTTTTTTAAATTTTTGTATATCGAAAATAATTCAAATTTTATTTTTATTCTGACTAAAGTTCTAATATACTTTAAACAAATAATTTCAACTTCGCAGTTCAGTTTGTCTAATTCTTATAAATATTAGACAATGTTACAATATTTATAATAATCTATTTGAAAACATTCAGTATTTTCGAACATTTCGTTACGGTACGGGAAGTTCGAGCAATTTGCCGCACTTCACTAGTTTTGGTTTTTGTCAAATAACTCAAAAATTTCATATGGAACTACCCCTTTTCATTTAGATAGGGTGAAACTAGATAAAATTTACAGCATTTCCTAGGGAACATTTTTAAACATTTGAAAATGTTGTATTACACCTATTAATATATCATGTAATTTATATTACAATAAACAGAAAAATGTGATTCTACATCCTCCCATACATAAAATCGTATTCTCATTGAAATTCAAATAGTCTCCTCAATTTCACCTGATCGTATCGCCTTCGTATTTTTTTCTAAAGGAGTCTTTTCCACCTTTATGACGTCATCGACCCCAAAAGCAAGGTAATGGTGTAATCATGACACCTTTTCACAAGCAAAAGGGAATATTTTCAATAATACAAACGCGACCCTTCGACAACAAAAAAGGTACTATGGCAGTAGATGATTTTTATGCAAAGTCGAGAGACGAAGTCATGAATCCGAAATGAGATTAGTTTGCGGTTTATGGGCATACCGAGTTGTTGTAGGGCGTTTTGGTATTAGACAATATTGTAGATGATTCAATTTTAAATAAATTTGTCGAAGACAGTTTGCAAATCGTGCGAATAGTTTAAAAGTTATTAATTGTTTAGTGAACGAATGTACTTTTGACTAATTACACGTATGATGAAGAAATGGATTCCTCCTTACGAATGGTTTTTTGAGTATACTAGTTGTTATAGCGTTTATGGGCATACCGAGTTGTTGTAGGGCATTTTGATAAAAGACAATATTGTAGATGATTCAATTTTGAATAAATTTGGCGAAGACAGTTTGTAAATCGTGCCAATAGTTTAAAAGTTATTGATTATTTAGTGAACGAATGAACTTTTGACTTTGAAGAAATGGATTCCCCCTTCTGAAGGTTTTTTTGAGAACACTAAGTAGTTATAGGGTGCATTTATTTAAATTTATTAAAATTTAAGTAAATTTTGCCAGAAGTCTGTTTTTGTCAATAACATGTGTGTTTTAATTTTTACATACCGAACAGGTGTATTAATTTTGCAAACTTAATAATATATAGGTAAAATTTAATAAATAGATTTTTAATATTTTCCATCACATTTTTAACTTCCCCTAGGGCAAGTTCTAGTAATCGCAAAATAAACAAAAATGAAATTTTTTTATATCTTTACGTTTCAAAGGTTTCTGAACATTTTGGCATACCCTAGAAAAAATGGATGTACGTGTGTGTTTATGTGTGTGTGTGCGCGTGTATGTGTGTGCGGATACAAATTTTCGTCCACGATTTCGGGAACACCGATCAACCGATTTGAATAATTCAAAAAAACATTCGATTCGTATTGATAAGGAGACGTGCTGATTAGTTTTTGGCAAAGGCAGGTCTAGCCGTTCCGACGGGGCAAACAGTGCCAAAAACGGTAACTCAGTTTTTAAGAGAACGGAGCATCCGATTTGAATAATTTAAAAAACATTTAACATCAATTTTTTTTGATTTCTAAAAATTTTAGGCAAAAACTTTATTCACAGCACTCATAGATAATAAAATTATCTATAAATCTTTTTAATACAGTTTTTACCTAAAACTATTTCTTTCGGAGATAAAAGCTTATCTTAGACAAATGCTGATTCTGCATATGAGCAACAAATGAGAAATCACTGGGAGTGATTTATTAAAAAAAAACTGCACACTTTTTGTATATTATTAAAATCTATTTTATCTCTTATATATGTCTAAATATATTTTTCCTCGTGTCTGAAACTTATTCTCGGATCTCTGACAAAAATCAATTAAAGTTTTTCTCATTGAAAATTCCATTTTCCTCATCGTTTTCCCAACTTTTTCTCTTATTTTCCATTTGTGGCACAAAATACTCTTTCGCGTTTGAAGTAAGAAGATGGTTTTCTGTTTGATGTTTAAACAAACTCTTCTAAAAGTGTTTTTCTTAGATTTTTTCATCGTTTTGCTTGTCCGACTAAAGATTTAGTTCGAGAGGTGAGATAAATGATAGTCCAATGAAATTGCATAACTTGGAAAATATTGGTTTGAGAGAAAAAGTTTATTAGGAAAATTTATGGGGAATTTTATAAGCTATATTTTGTCCAAAGACAGTTTTTAGAAAAAATTTGAAAATAAGTGCAAAAAGTACAAAAATGTCCATTATTGGGCCTGACAATTTTTGTAAAGGTTTAGATACTAATATATCTGTAATTAATAAAGTTAGATTTATACAATATTAGCAAATTATGTAGGAAATTTTATAATCTAAAAGTCCTCAGAATAATGTTTTTGCAAAATGATAATTTTTAAATAATAATTAAATAAATTCGAATAAAACTAACTAAAGTGCAAATATGTCCGTCACAAGAGTTTATTTGGTGCATATAAACTGTGTTCAAAAGAAAAAATATCTCTACAAATATTAATTTTAGATAAAAAGTATATTAACAAAATTTGTAGGTAATTTTATAATACAAAACACTTGCAAATAATATATAAAATATATATAAAAATATTTCCGCAAAAAAATTATAGTTTTTCGTTAAAACTAACAAAAGTGTACATGTGTCCTCCATTCTAATTTTTAATTTTTTGATTATAATTTATAACTGATAATTTTTTTGTATAAACTTTATTCCCAGGATTTTTATATTATGAAATAACCTACAAAATTTGCTAATATATAAATAATCTAAAATCAGTTCTTTCGGATATATCCACATTTTTGTGTAAAAAAAACTTTAGTTTACAATTTTCTCAATAATTTCAAAACTAGCAAAAGAATCATCGGTTTTGGAATTTATACATTTAGTTAACACATCTAAGTACACCATATATTAACTACAAGTTTCAAACTATATTAAAAATATTTTAAATAAAATCAGAAATATTCAATTCCAACAACTTTCCTCGTGAAGTTGTAAAAAAAACTTTGGTATTAGTTTGCAATTTTCTCGATAACTAGTAAAAAAAATTATCAGTTTTAGTATTTGTACTTTTAATTAACACATCAAAGTATATCATATACCGGCTACAAGTTTCAAACTAAATCAGAAATATTTTAAATAAAATCCAGAATCCTCAACTTTGTTCGTGGAAATTAATTTGATGAATTATTCAATAACATAGAATTCTGCTTCTTGATTGATTATCTTTACGATTTGTTTCTGAAGAGAAACAACAAGAAGTTTGAAATGAAACTTCTTGGAAACAGGAAACTTTTCTGATTGAACAGGGCCGGAGGCGAGGAGGCCCTCAACTAATTAAGAAGAATCGACTCGTTTGTTAAGAAAACAAAGTTAGAGAATAAATGGATAAATATGAAAAGTTGTCTTAAAAATGTGAGATCGTACTTTTAAATAAAATGTTAAGCAAATATTAAGTAAATCACTTTTTCTTTTTTGTTCTATATTTTTTATATTGTTTAAACAAATGTCAATCGATTAATATATCAAATATATTCACAATATTGATGTGGATCGCAAAAAACAACTTTCAAAATCAAAATGCACTCATTTTTTATTTGTTTAGACATTGCAATATAATAATTAAACTAATCTGATTGACCTTGTGGAATTTTTTAAATAAATTTAAATAATCACATACTTAGAAAAAAATCGATAGTAATTTAACCTCTTAAACTACTTCTTAAAAAAAATTCCTGAATTTTTCATAAATATCTTGTGTATAAAAGTTATAGCTTATAAAAATTTACCACAAAATTTGCAAAAACAATTTTACCCTTTCGGTGATATATGTAGCTAAACTTTTTAATTTAGGAACATTTTTGCAATTTAGATCGATTTTAAAGTATACTGAGTTGCTGTATAGTGGAATGGTATTTGACGATATTCTAAATTATTCAATTTGGACAAATTTGTAGAATATTTAATTTAAATTAAACAACTGTTTAGAAGTTACACGAGTTAAAAGAGATAAGTGCATGGTCAATTCTTAATCATATAATCACAATAATGCTCGTGATAATTTTGTAGGTTCTAAGGCGTTTTTAAAGTATACCGAGTTGCTGTAGAGTATTATGATGTTAAAATTTATTCTAGATCATTGAATTTTGTACAAATTTGTCTAATATTTCATGAAAATTAAACAAACCGTTTAGAAGTTACACGAGTTAAAAGAGATAAGTGCATGGTCAATTCTTAATCATATAATCACAATAATGCTCGTGATAATTTTGTAGGTTCTAAGGCGTTTTTAAAGTATACCGAGTAACTGTAGAGATTTATGATGTTAGAAAATGTTCTATATTATTTAATTTTGAACAAATTTGTCGAATATTTCATTTAAATTAAATAAACCGTTTAGAAGTTACACAAAAGAGATAAGTGCACGGTCAATTCTTAATCATATAATCACAATAATGCTCGTGATAATTTTGTAGGTTCTAAGGCGTTTTTAAAGTATACCGAGTTGCTGTAGAGTATTATGATGTTAGAATACATTCTAGATCATTGAATTTTGCACTAATTTGTCGAATATTTCATTTATTTTAGACAAACGGTTTAGAAGTTTCAAGAGTTACAATAACCAAATGCACAAAAAAGTTGTTAACTTCAAACAGTGCAGTTGAACATGATTTAAATAATATTAATAATATTTCTATATATCTATAAGTGTGTGTATGTATTTCTGTGACATTTATCTCGATATTTCACGGTCTTTTCTCTCAAAAAGTCAACATTTGCCCACATGTGAGTCCAAGAAACCGAAAAAAACCTGTTCCATACATAATATAATGCATTTGACCTTTATCAACAACAACAACAAAAAACGGCAATTTGTTGTCGATCTGGATGACATTATAATCTGTAACACTTTTAACAAAAAATAAAAACGAACAATTGACATTTTCGTTCTTAGTTATTCTCGATTTTTATTACAACTTTTGTGTTGCATAAAAACTGGATTGAATTTTTTAAATGTCAAAAATTCGACTGAACCAGAATGCACTTTTAATAATTTGCCTCGGGCAAATATAATGATCGAGATGAAGAATTTGTGGGTAATAAATGTATAAATCATGTTTTAATAGTTGTAAATTAGATGTAATAAAAATTTTATTGTCATAGATGCTAATTGCTAATGTATCCGGCGCCTAGAAATTGATTTAGAAATAATTTGTTATATATTTATTGTATCACTTGTAACTTCCTAACAGTTCGTGTAATATAAATCAAATATTTTACAAATTTGTTTCAAATTGAATAATCTAGAATATCGTCTAATACCATTCCACTATACAGCAACTCGGTATACTTTAAAATCGCTTTAGAACAAAAAATATTGTCATGAGTATTGTTATAGTGGATTGTCTATGCTTGAACTCGTGTGACTTCTAAACGGTTTGTTTAATTTAAATGTAATATTCGACAAATTTGTTTAAAATTCAATGATCTAGACTATATTCTAACATCATAATACTCTACAACTACTCGGTATACTTTAAAAACGCCTTATAACATACAAAATTTTCACAAGCTTTATTGTGATTCCATGATTAAAAATTGACCGTGCACTTATCTCGTTTTAACTTCTAAACGGTTTGTTTAATTTAAATAAAATATTTGACAAATTCGTTAAAAATTAAAAAATCTAGAACATTTTCTAAGAGCATAAATCTCTACAGCAACTCAGTATACTTTAAATTCGTCTTAGAACATACAAAAATGATAAAAAAATCTACTAAAACGTCTACGCAATCAGTATATCAATTATGGGTACATTTAAGTAAAAATATTTTGCAAAATAATAATTTTATGTAAAATTTTGACTTATAATAATTTGTAGATAATTATATTAGCTACATATTTTGTATATAATTCTTTTTTGTAAAATCAATAGGTTTTGAAAAAAATTTAGTTGAGTAAAAAATGTTCCTGTAATAAAATTTTTTATCCAAAAAACTTGTCATATATATATATATATATATATATATATATATATATATATATAATTATTTCCGCATAATATAAATGCATTAAAATAAATATTTATTTAATAGTTCAAATAACTTCCTTTCTTAGTATAATTATTAAAATTATTCTAAGATTGTCTGTATGACTTTACATTTCTGATAAATCGAATTAAAATCATCTTTTAGACACAGATCTGGTAGAAAATGAATAAACAAATTAAAATTAAATAAATTAGTGCTTTAATATAATATAAATAAAAACTAATTGTTTTTATATCTATATTTTCATGTCTTATACACAAATATTTACATATTCATCTTAAAATAAGTTTTAGAATTAAAAAATATTATTTTTGTATTAAATTGCACTTTTTAAAATAACATAATAAAATTTTTCAATATCAATAGTATATAATATACATATAAAAAATATTTTTATATAAAATTTTTTAATATTGATAAAATTGTCTTAGCTTTTTTGTTTATGTTATTTTTATCCAAATAATAAAAATACAAAACACGTAAAATTTTCATAAACCGATTTTCTTTCAAATTTTTCAAATTTTGGTGATGTTTATTCCACACTATTGATATATCAATATAAAATTTGCTCAAATTCGATTTTAACTCTAAATAAAATTAAACTATAACTATAAATATTCATATAAATATATACAATATAGTTTTGAATGTTAGTCCCATGTTTTCTTTATTCTTGGCTCCGGTAAAACAAATCTGCAAAAGAAAAAAATAAATATAATTAATAAATAGATAGAAAACTTTTTTTTATTATAATATTATCTAATATTTATCTAATACCAAAAGTCCTTACATCAACGCGGTGTACTTTAAAATTGATTTTGAAACATGAAGTTTATTCCAAGCGCAATTTATGTGCTTTTGTTTATTATATCTTTTGTAACTTTTAGACTATTTGTTTAATATAATTGATGTAATAAAAAAAATTGTACAAAATCAAATTGTCTAAAATATTGTCTAATATCAAAATGCTCTACAGCAACTCGGTATGCTTTAAAATTACTTCTAAAACTAAAAGTTATTGACGTTGATCTTCAATTTATTTGTGCATTTGTTTCTTATAAATTCTGTAACTTTTAAACCGTATGAAAGGTTAATCCTCCTAAACGATTATTCGGATTTTCATAAATCTTCCTGGAGTTTGTTAAGGAAATTTTCTTAAATTTTTGGATCCATAGAAATATAGTTAGATTGTAGAAATATATGGAAAAATTACAAAAATCCGCTTATCATTGTTTGACATTGAAAATATTTAAGGCATTAAAAACAAATGAACACTGTCATTTGCCAAACTTTCTATTCACTGACAATATTAAAATATAATATATTTATGATTATGAATAAGGAAAATGTAATGTCTACATTATTATTGCCGAAAAGCAGCTGGGATGTGCCAAAAATTAAAATAATATAAGATACATTATATCTTTAGCATAGTGTATATCCTTTATAATTAATTTGACAGATTATTATTTTTTAACTAATGCAGTCGTGTTTTCCCTTACTTTACTAAATCACAATACAAAAAAAATTACTTATTCAAAAAATTATTTAGAATTTTATTGTGTCAAAAATGCATAAGTTTGGCATTCGATACGGAATTTAAAAAAAATGGAACTTGAATTGTGAACATAAGTACAGGACAACGTCTGTCGGGTCATCTAGTATATATATATATATATATATATATATATAAATTCTTTTTCTTGAAGAAGATAATAAAGTGTCTCAGTGTCTGAAGAAAAGAGCGGGCGGTTTTAGCGTAAAAATGCATTTAACCCCGATCGACGTGTCGATCCAGGTTGAGTTGCAAATCGCCCGGACTTATGCTCGGAAAAGCAATGAGATAGAAAATTGCGGGTTTTAAAATAACTATATATATATATTTATATATGAGATATTTTATATTTCAAATGTCCGTAAATTTAAACATTTACATCATACATCATTACTTTCATTCATTACATATACATCATTAATTTCATCAAATTAATACTCTAGCTGAACATTTCAAACTTTGAATGCTTGTAACTTGAAATATGTATATGACAATGCTAGCTTATAATATATGTAAAAATAGCTTAAAATATGTACTAACGACGTACAAAAATTTTAATTAGCTGAATTTATTCGTTTTAAAGTAATTCACTTCCAAAATCACCAAGCTTATAGAAAAACATTCGGTGAACATTTCAAACTTTGAACTTTTGTAACTTGAAAAGTTTATATGGCAACACTAGGTAATAATGTACGTACAGATAGCTTAAAATATGTATTAAATATGTACAAAAATTTTAATTAGCTGAATGTATTCTCTTTAAAAATAATACACTTCCAAAATTAACAGTTCTTCATTGACCAGTCGTTACATACTCTCGAGACCATGCAAAAACTTTCGGTGAGTATTTTAATTTTTGAATGCTTTTAACTTGGAAAGTATATATGGCAACACCAGCTTATAATATATGTAAAGATCGCTTAAAATATATACTAAACTGGTATGTAAGTTAAATTTGACCAAATGTGTCTATTTCAAAGTAATTTACTTCCAAAATTACCAAGCCTACACAGAAACAGGCGAAAATTGAAATTTTCAACTTATGTAACTTGAAAAGTTTATATGACAACACTATGTAATAATATACGTACATAAAGCTTAAGATATGTACTAAAAACGTACAAAAATTTTAATTAGCTAACTGTATTCGTTTAAAAAAAATCACTTTCAAAATTGACAATTCTTCATTGACCAGTCGTTACATACTCTCGAGGCCATACAAAAACTTTCGGTGAGTATTTTAATTTTTAAATGCTTGTAACTTTAAAAGTTTATATGGCAACCCTAGCTTGTAATATATGTAAAGATAGCTTAAAATATATACTAAACTGGTATGTAGGTTACATTTGACCAAATGTATCTATTTCAAAGTAATTTACTTCCAAAATTACCAAGCTTATTCAGAAATATTCGTTTGGTGAAGATTTTAAACTTTGAGCGTTTGTAATTTGCAATTTTTATATGACAACACTAGGTAATAATATACGTACACATAGCTTGAAATATGTAGTAAACACGTACAAAAATATCAGTTTGCTAAATTTATTCGTTTTAAAGTAATTCAGTTCCAAAATCACCAAGCTATAGAAAAACATTCGGTGAACATTCCAAACTTTGAGTGTCTGTAACTTGCAATTTTTATATGACAAGATTATCTAATAATATACGTACAGATAGCTTAAAATATGTACTAAAAACGTACACAAATTTTAATTAGCTAACTGTATTCGTTTCAAAAAAATTCACTTCCAAAATTTACATGTAACATACTGTCCCTGCAAAAAATCTCGATCAATTTTGAGTGCTCGTAACATTAAAATGTTATATGACAACCCTAGCTTATATTATATGTACAAACAGCTTAAAATATGCACTAAAATCCTATGTATTTTGTTTTTACTTAAATATTTTTGCTTTCGAAATATGAACTTCCAACGTCAACAAATTCTCACACTAGCAAAATTATTGGTAAACATTTGCATCTTTGGATGCTTGTAACTTAAAACTTTTATATTACAACTTCACCTTATATTATATGTACAGATAGCTTTAAACATATACAACACTTTTCCAAAAAAAACTCAGCAGTAAAAATAAATTTTTCACTAAATAATTACATTCCAAACGTACAAAATTTTCAAACCTTAACTATTATTTGAATTATTACTTTATCAGTTTTTCCACAGGCATCGATTTTTACCTTCTATAATTACAATAATATTTGTTTATTTCTTTACAACAATAACAAATAAGTTATATAATTAAAATCTATAATTATGGCACGATCGAATGAATTATTGTTACTTTGCAAATAAATTTCCATCTGAGTAAAAATTCGCGCATGACTCGGCGTAATGTCTCTTTAATATGAAATAGAGGAGACCGGGGTAATAATAGATACATAAATAATATAAGAAACACTTATGTGATATCCTATTATCAGTAGACACAGTAAATTGTGAAAATAAATTATTAGTTTTGCTCGTTTTTCGCCAATTTTTGAGTCAATGCAGAATTTTACTTGGAGGCTTCAAATCAGTATTGATATACTTTTTATGATTTCTAGTTTAGAATTTGTATAAACATTCATATTTATATGAATATTTAGTTTTTCTAGATTATTGGAAGAAATAGCGTTTTTATTTTAGTATAATGTTAAACAATTTTGTTGCTTATAAAATTTACAATAAAACGTATTATAACAGTTTTTTTGTAACTTAATTTTTTTTAACAAATTTATAGTTCATTTCTCCTGTATAAACATTCATATTCATATGTTAATGTACATTTAATTATGAAATTTCACTTTCATACATATGTCGATAGGTACAACATTTCTACAATTATTATTTATTGATTACTTCCCATATATATATTTATTTATATATATATATATATATGTATATATATATATGTAATTATACATTGAGATTTAATCTGCACATGTTTTTGAATTATTTAGGAAAAACTTGAACTAAAGCTATAGTAGTTGAATTTTGCCTGTATTTTTTATATCTTTTGGAACTTTTAAACTACTGAACTAATTTCTATGATGTATTAGAAAAATTTGTACAAAATTAAATTGTTTATAATATTTTCTAGTATTATAATGCTCTACAGCAACTCAGTATACTCTAAAATCACATTTAAAATGATTTTTAATCAACTGTTTTACTTATGCTACATTTGTCTGTTAAATAATTGTATAATCTGCGTTTTTCTTTAAAAATTTATAGAATTATAAAAAATTGTTATGACATGTTACATAGAAAATTTTGTAAGCTGAAAAATTTCTGAATACTATTCTATGATGAAAATTATCATTTTTGAAATATTTGAGAAGAACTAAACATTGGTCATCCGCAAATCCAGATCTGATATAGAGCTTTTGCAATTTATTTTGTTTTAAAATTTTTATTCATATAAAATATGTTAAAGTACGTTTTATAGTAAATTTTATGAGCTACAAAATTGTTTAACATTATACTACAATAAAAACGCTATTTCTTTAATTAATCTAGAAAAACTATACATTTGTCATGGCGACGTTTTCATATAGACTCAGTGAATGAAGTCGGAGATTGGAAAATAAATTATCCGCAAATTATCCGTTTCATTGAAGTGCTTTTTGGTAAACCACATTTTTTGTTTTTTGGTCTGACGTTAACACAAACAAGGCGGATGGTTTTCGAACTCGTGAACAGGCAACGTATAACTGCCCATGTGAAAAACAATGATTTTCTAAATAATCTATTTGAAATTTATGCCGCAAACACTAAGCGATTGGCCTTGTGACTTGTTAATTGCGAACGCAAGGCGAACTGGAAATTGCAATCGTTTGAAGTCAAACGGAGGACCAGTCGGAATCATTGGTATGTCACCAAATCGCCAGCAATTTTTGATTGAATGGTGAAATTCAGTGCGTGTACATCATTATTCTTTGCGGCAAGAATTGCTCTTTGACTTAACCAAGCATAATTCTGATAATTCTCACTAATGTCATTACTAGAATTTTTAATTACGGTGCATGAAGTTCCAGCAAATTGCATTAGGACACGATGCCACGCACCACTAATTTTCTTAGCTATAAACCTTGCGGAACCCGAGTTTACTTTCCAACGAATGCAAAATTGTCGAAATCGGTTCGTGCGTTCTGGAGTTATTTCGTCAGGAAGGAAAACCCGACTTATTTTTATATATATAGAGGATAATAGATTTTAAAATTTTCCGCCGTTGCCTCAAGATTGTGCATTTAACCTGTATCAACGCGTCGTTTCAGGTTAAGCTGCAAATCGCGCGTCGGCCTGGGAAAAATGTAAAATTTTGGGAAAAATCTATACATAATAATAAATTTAAATAATATTGTCTAATATAATTTAAACTCGTATGTTAATTCAAACAAGTACATTTCATATTATATTAATCCACGTGGGTTTGGATTCAATAAAAACAACTGCGTGTCGTTCCAAACAAAACATTATTGAAATAGCTCAATCATTTCATAAATAAAACATAACATGACTGGATACAATGTGTTGTTTTTGTTGTTGTATTTGTGGAAATGGCCACCATACAATGCAAACAACAATCCGATGAATAAATATATCTATTTATACGGAACTCGACTGGAATAATATTAATAATTCACGATTATAATCAGATTTTAATTGTTAATACCTGATGCATTGTTGGAAATTGATTTCGCAAACGTACTACTACTAAAATTGAATTGATACATGTAAAGGTGAATTTACATAGTTATTATTACCAGTACTATTATTAGTATCATGGATATTTGTGTGTGGCTTTTGCCAAATATTTACATAACTAGGTGTAATATTGATATTGATATTTGCACAATTTGTGGATTAAACTGTTGTTTTTATGGTGCTGTATGCTGTGAATTATCTATATGCAAAATTTTATAAGTTTTATTGTGGTATAATGTTAAGCAATTTTTTGTAGATCCTAAAGTTTACTATAAAACGTATCATAACAGCTTTTTGTAACTTATTTTTTTTTAACAAATTTATTTTTTAATCCTCGACTTCATTCACTGAGTCTCTTTGAACAACGTCGCCTCGACATTTTTTTAATTATTTAAAAAATGAGCATTTTTATTGTAGTATAGTGTTAAGCAATTTTGTAGCCTATAAAATTTACTATAAAACGTTTTATAACATATTTTATATGAATGAAAATTTTAGAACAAAATAAATTGCAAAAGCTCTATATCAAATCTGGATTTACGGATGACTAATGTTTAGTTCTTTTCAAATATTTCAAAAATGATAATTTTTATCATAGAATAGTACTACTAAGCAATTGTTTTAGCTTACAAAATTTTCTATAAAACATGTTATAATAAGTTTTTGTAATTTTATAAATTTTTGAGGAAAAACGCAGATTATACAACAATTATTCAACAGATAAATGTACCATAGGTAAAACAATTAATTGAAAATTACTTTAATTGTGATTTTGGAGTATACTGAGTTGCTGTAGGGCAATACAGTATTAGATAATATTATAAACAATTTAATTTTGTACAAATTTTCCTAATACATCATAGAAATTGGTTGAATAGTTTAAAAGTTACAAAAGTATAAAAAAATAAATGCAAAATTCAAGATAAAATTACTACATACAATTTACTACAAAATTATACCATGTTATTTGTTAATGGAAATTAACTAAAAATAACACATTAATTTTTATTGCTACCAATTTTCGATTTCATTGACTAGAATATCTCCATATATATAACCGAAAGGAAAAAAACTTGAAATCGAGATGAATGCACAAGTTTAAATTATTCCATTAATTTATTCGTAACTTTTTTATGCAATAATAACAACTATTTCTATTTTTAGATTAAATATCGAAAATATTTGTATATATTTATAGTTTTTATTAGATCACCTAATTACCAGAATTTTAAAAAACGACTTTTGTAGCAAATTTCCTTCGATCCTTGAAAGAGAAAGTAAATTGATGGATTTTCTTTTGCCAAAAGAAAGTTACAGTTTAAATTGTTGTTAATAAATCTCATGAATGAAATGATACTGATTTATCAGGAAATGGGAAATAAAGAGAGGTTTCGAGTTACTCTGAATCGTTTGACACCGAAACTGTGGTAAAATTGTAAATGACTCTTGTAACTTTCAAACGGTTTGTTTAATATAAATGAAATATTTTCTCATATCATAAAGCTCTACAGCAATTCGGTATACTTTAAAATCGCTTCAGAAAATAGATAATAACGAATTAGGAAATAGAGAATAACGATATAGGCATTAATTGTGAATCGGTGCATTTGTTTATTGTATCTGGTGTAACTTTTAAACCATTCATCTTAGATAAATGAAATATTTTACAAATTTGTTCAAAATTAAATAATCTTTGTAATTTTCTAATATCATGATGCCCTACAGCAACTCGGTATACTTAAAATTCATCTCCTTCCATAAGCTATCCTAAGTAGGCCATGATGATGATGTAACAACCAGTATGCGTAATATCAATTACATCCGACACGGGAGTTGAATTCTTTTAATATGAAGAACAACTGTTGTTGTTGTTGTAGTTGTTGTTGTTGATGATAAAAATCGCTTACTTATTGCAAATTAACATAATAATAATTGCACGAGAGAGGAGGCACCTGCACCATCATTTATTTGCAGATGAGTAAGATGATTGATGATGGTGAACGATGAAGAGATTTGACTTTTCAGTCGTCATTTTAAAATATACCGAGTTGATATAGGGCATAATGATGTTAGAAAATGACAAAGATTATTTAATTTTGAACAAATTTGTAGAATATTTTATTCAAATCAGATGAATAGTTTAAAAGTTATACCAGATACTATAAACTAGGGAATGCAATACCGATGAAAAATTTCAATACCGGTATTTCGGTAATTTTTCATTTTAAAACCGGAATACCGGTAAATTACCGGTATTTTCATTATCTTAAACAAGCGTAAACAAAATTGAAAGTTGCTAGTACAAATATAACAAAACGTATATACAACTACCAATTCAACTAAACAATAAAATAAAATAATAAGTTTATTTTTTTAAATAATAATTTAACAAAATTATATGCAATTTAATTAATTCATTATTACTATCGAGTATATTGAGTACTTTTCACCAAAAACAAACTTATGAGTAAGAATGATCAAAAACTCATAAAAGATCATATTACATCATTATAACAAACTGTATTGTCTGTGTCCGATGTGTTAAATTAGCATAATCTCCAATATTTAAAAAAAAAATTTTTCTACACTAATTTAAGATCGGATACTTTGTCGAGATGAATAATAAGTTATTATAATTGTTGAGTATTGTTATTTAAAACAATGTGATGCTTCTCTAGTATTTTCAAATTTCGAAACGTTTTCGAAAAATAATATTTTATAATTGTAATAAGAAGCAAAAATATTTAGTAATTATCATAATTATTATGTATAGAGTTAGAAAAAAATAAAGATTATGCAAGGGAAATCTGTATGATATAAAATATTTTGGCGCAAATATCACTTAAAAAACTGTTACATTTTTACAAAAGATGAAACAAACATTATTATCTATAAGTCCAATTCTATTTATTGTAACACGATATGAAGCCCTTTGGAAAGCAATAATCATTCAGTTTAATGACGAGTTGAGATAATATTTGACATTTGTTCATCTTATAGAATCACTTGAAGATATAGCTGTTTATGCGATTAGGGAATTTAAAGATAAATTTGTTCTGAGAAATTTAAACTTTAGGGTATTATGTAAATAGCGCTAATGTAAAAATACCGAAAATACCGGTAAAAATACCGCCGAAAAATCGGGCGGTTTACCGGTAATTCGGTATACCGGTATACCGGTATTGCATTACCTAGTTAATACCTATATCGTTATTCTCTATTTCCTAATTTGTTATCTATTTTCTGAAGCGATTTTAAAGTATACCGAGTTGCTGTAGGGCATTATGATGTTAGAAAATATCATAGATAATTTAATTTTGAACAAATTTGTAGAATATTTCATTTATATTCGCCAAAACGTTTAGAAGTTACAAGAGATACAGTAAATAAGAGTACAGAAAAGATAGAGGCAAGTTATTCGTGAACTACAAATGAATTTTTGTCGTTGTTGAAATTGATGTAGAAGATTTTGTTATGGATCTAAGTTACATATCTAAGATTTCTTTTTCAGATTTTATTATTATATATAATATAAATTTGCGACAATGACAACTGCTTATTTGTCTACAAATCTTTTGCCAAGGTTCCATTCGAAGCGTAAATCCTCTTCCAATGCCAACATACTCATAAATCTTCCAATCTGTGCTATAATCTCGTTTAAATTGGAATTTAATTTTAAAATAAATGTATGGAAAATAGACAGAGAGCTATGGAAAAATTATTTATTTATTTATTTATTTATTCGCCTTTTTGCCAGACGAGCGAGCTCAAACAGTATTGTGCTTTTTTTACTATATCTTTTGTAACTTTTAAATTATTTGATCAATTTGAATGAAGTATGAAAGAAGTTTATATAAAATTAAATTATCCAAAACATTTCCTTACACTATAAGGTCCTACTGCAACTCTGTCTACTTCAACATCAATATTAAATATTAAAATATACTTAGGTCTCATTCGTTGCTTCTCTCTATAGTGTAATCTTTTAGTGATTTTATCATAATTTTTAATTAATTAAAATTTAAATTTCTACAGAATTCAATTTGTTTATATTTGTCTAAAATTACATTTAAATAATATTTTCTACTTACTTGTAATTATTCCTCTGGGTGACATCATCTTCGATCCTTTCCCAAACAGGTTTGACTTCGTCCTTTAATCGATAGTATCGATTATTCTCATCACCATTATTATTATTAATGTTTTTAAAATCGGTGCTTTTTAAAAACTTTCCATCTCCTACTTTTATATAATATTTGTCCTGGAATTTGGTGCCAAATTGGCGATTTTTGGACTTGGTGTCGTAGATGGCTTTTTTGGAAGTTTTTTTGGACTTTGTTTGCTCGTAATAGTCTCTGAGAAAAAAAGATAAACAAATAAATAAATAAAAAAGTAATTTATATGTTTTACATAAAATAAACTCTCACAATCAGTGTACTACTCATTACCCATGTTATATATTTTCTAATACCATTTTTTCCTAATAATTTTCACATAATTATCTTTTGCAATTCACATAAATTCCTGACGATGTTAAAAATATATAATTATCGTTCGAGAGTGGTGTGAAAAGCAGTAAAGTCATTATTTCGATGTTTAACCTTTAATTTACGATGGTGATATAATATTTATAACCTTTGCCGACACTTTTGATTATAGAAATCAAGTTTTCTGAAACCGAATTACTCACAACGGACATACACATAGGAAAATTAAGGTCGTACGCGAAACTTATAAAATTTGCAAAGTGTAAAAATGCAATTTTGTAAAAACTATTGCAGATATTTTGGTAATTCAAAAAGTTGTTCTTAAAACATTTTTAATTTGCCATCGAATAGTAATATTCTTGATTTCCAATTTTTACTTGTTCATGAAGAATGTACATTATACATTAATTAATCTGCAAGATTTGGAGACATAGTTAACAATGCAAGTTGATAGTATATATTTAGTTATTTAACATATTTTTATAGTTGATTTATTACCACAGATTGTGATATTTGATGTTTTCTATATGAGTATGCAAATTAATGTTGCATTCTCAGTGAACGAGTTAAAACAACAAATCGTGATTATCGCAGTTTGATGGCAAATTGAAAGTATTTTATGAACAACTTTTTGAATTTCTAAAATATCTCAAAGCGTTCTCGAGATATTGCATTTTTAAACATTTCGATTTTGCATGATCCATATTGATTTTTACAACTTATAAAATTTGCAAAGTGTAAAAATGCAATTTTGTAAAAACTGTTGCAAATATTTTGGTGATTCAAAAAGTTGTTCTAAAAACATTTTTAATTTGTCATCGGATAGTAATACTCTCGATTTCCAATTTTTACTAATTCACCAAGAATATACATTATGCATTAATAACTCTTCAGGATTTTGAAGAAATAGTTAACAATGCAAGTCGATAGTATGTATCTTTATAGTTAATTAATATATTGTTAAGGTTATTTTTTTAATACCGATAAAATTTACTACATTTCCTTCCAACACTTTTATACTTTCCTATATAAAAGTTTTGAATAAAACGACTTTCAATTCGATGATATTTCATTCTTTAGCAATAGATATGGAAAATTCGGGGCATTTTTTTAGTTTTTGTAAATTAACTTAAAATTTCATATGAAACCACCCCTTTTCTGTTAGATAGGGTGAAACTAGATAAAATTTACAACATATACAAATAATATATTATTTTAATCTCACCTATCAACGTCCGTCTTTTTCCCAAACTCCATCTCCTCATAATCCTGGTCGACTTCATCAGCTCTCCTCTCGAAATTTTCCTCATTTTTTCCAAAATTTTGGTCCAAAGGATTAAAATTTGGGTACGGAACCAAATAATAAGGATTCACGTAAATTTTTTTGTAGTATAAATTCGTGTGCTGATTTTTTCCTTGTGACAAATAGTCATCGTTGGAAGATAAACTATTTGGAGCGAAATTGGTTTTGGTTCCAAATGGTACGTAGATGGCTGATATTTGGGAAATTGTCAGGCATAGGAACACCTGGGGGAGAAAATGAAAATTTAGTTATATAAAATATACATAAACAAGAAGTGCTATTATCGTCGAGTATTTGGTATGAGAGTGCATATTTAAGGTGCATTCTCAGTGAACAAGTTAAAATAGCAAATTGAGACTACGACAGTTCGATGGCAAATTTAAAATGCTATTAGAATCACTTTTTGAATCATAAAATTATCATCAGGAGTTCTCAAGATATTGAATTTTTAAATATTTAGAAAGAAAGGATTTTCAAGGTCATACGCAGAATCCATAAAAATTTATAAAATTTGCAAAGTGTAAAATGCAATTTTATAAAAATTGTTGTAGATATTTTGGTTATTCAAAAAGTTGTTCTAAAAGCATTTTTAATTTGCCATCGAATAGTAATACTCCCGATATCCAATTTTTACTTATCCATCAAGAATATACTTTCTACATATATAATTTTCAAGAATCTCATAAAATAGTTAAAAATGCAAGTTGATAGCATTTCTATAGTTAATTAGTAGATTTTTGAAGCTAGATTTTTATTACCGATCGTGTTATTTGATGTTTTCTATATGAGTATGCATGTTTATATTGCATTCTTAGTGATCGAGTTAAAGCAGCAAATCGCGATTATCACAGTTCGATGGCAAATTGAAAGTGTTATATAAGTGACTTTTTGAATTTCCAAAATATCTCAAACCGTTCTCGAGATATTGTATTTTTAAATATTTCGATTTCGCAGGATCCATATTGATTTTTTACAACTTATAAAATTTGCAAAGTGTAAAAATGCAATTTTATAAAAACTATTGCAGATATTTTGGTGATTCAAAAAGTTGTTCTAGAAGCATTTTTAATTTGCCATCGAATAGTAATACTCCCTACTTTATAGTGTTACTTGTTCACTTCGAATGTGTATTTATATACAATTGCATGTTTAATTAAAAATATTCTGAAAGGTAAATTTATTAACCTGTGACAAAAAGTTTAAAGACTTTATTACTCAATTTTCACCAGATTAAAATAAAACGTTAGTCAATCGTTTACAAATTACAAAACATTCTTTACATTTACAACTTTGTATCCATTCCTATCTTGAAACTCCATCTTTATATTATCATTTAGCACAATAGTTAATTATAAATAATTAATTACAAAGAGGAAAAAAACGATTAATAGCGTCATCGGATTTCAGTGAAGCGTTGAAATAAATCTCTTGGGAACACAATGAAAGACTTTAAGAAATATTCAATGAAATCGTTTAAGATCCGAGATTTAGATAAAAGGTGATTGAATGAGGTAATTAAGACGTAATGTTAGGTAGATGGAATTCGAGAGTATTACTATTCGATGGCAAATTAAAAATGCTCTTAGAACCACTTTTTGAATCACCAAAATATCTGCAATAGTTTTTATAAAATTGCACTTTTACACTTTGCAAATTTTATAAGTTGTAAAAATCAATATGGATCCTGCAAAATCGAAATGTTTAAAAATGCAATATCTCGAGAACGCTTTGAGATATTTTGAAAATTCAAAAAGTTGTTCATATAGTACTTTCAATTTGCCATCGAACTGTGATAATCACGATTTGTTGTTTTAACTCTTTCACTAAGAATGTAACATTATTTTGCATACTCATATAGAAAGTATCAAATATACAATCGGTAACGAAAAAAAACCTTAACAATGTATTAATTAACTATAAAGATACATACTATCGACTTGAATTGTTAACTATTTCTTCAAATCCTGAAGATTTATTTATGTATAATATACATTCTTGATGCACAAGTAAAAATTTGGAATCGACAGTATTACTATTCGATGGCAAATTAAAAATGCTATTAGAACAACTTTTTGAATCACCAAAATATCTACAATAGTTTTTGCAATATTGCATTTTTACACTTTGCAAATTTTATAAGTTGTGAAAAATCAATATGGATCCTGCGAAATCGAAATGTTTAAAAATGCAATATTTTGAGAACGCTTTGAGATATTTTGAAAATTCAAAAAGTCGTTCATATAATACTTTCAATTTGCCATCGAACTGTGATAATCACGATTTCCGGTTTTAACTCTTTCACTGAGAATGCAACGTTAATTTGCATACTCATATAGAAAACATTAAATAACACAATCGGTAATGAAAAACTAGCTTCAAAAATATATTAGTTGACTATAAATATGTTATTAACTTGCATTTTTAACTATTTCATCAGATCCTTGAAATTTGTATATTAAGAAAGTATATTCTTGACGAATTAGTGAAAGTTGGAAATCGAGACTATTACTATTCGATGGCAAATTAAAAATGTTTCTAGAACAACTTTTTGAATCACCAAAATATCTGCAATAGTTTTAACAAAATTGCATTTTCACATTTTGCCAATTTGATAAGCTCACGCGAACGACCTTGAATATCCTTGATCCTCCTGCACATTTTTTTTTATTATATCGCTCATAACTTTTAAACGGTTTGTCCAATGTTAATAAAATATTCAACAAATTTACTCAAAATAAAATTATGCACAACATTTTCTAACATCATAAAATTCTACAACAACTCTATATATTTTAAAATCGCATCCAAAACATGTCTACTCATTATTACATTTAGTGTTTTTTCCCGGTGACTCAGCTTGAGGCGAATATGATGTAATTAAATTCGTTTCGCGTTGTTTGTTTTTTCTTTTATTATTTTTTATTATTATTAATAATGTTTAAAGTATGATTTAATTGTATATTTTTCACGCTGATGAACACACTGAAATGGAACTTTTTATTTTAACAATAATTATTATAATACCATGATGATTATGCGAATGCGATACGAAAATAAACTCGAACGCTATTTTTCTGTTGTTATTTTTAACAATAATGGATTGTGATAAAAAATATATAAAACAAGTGTATCTAAGGTCGAAATAGAAAAAAGGTTAAGTGGTTAATGCAAAAAAATTGCACTAAAATATATATTTTATGCATTTGTTTGCTAAAAGCAGCCTGTACACGTTACTCAGAAAATCATAAATAACGTGTGATTTTTCTGAAAAACTTATAAACTTTAGTATTTTCTGTATTTAGTATATACATCAAACTATATCATATCCAAATTTTAAAGCTGTAGTACAAACTGTACGTCCTGAAGAGCTCATTCAAAACGATATACATGCTACAATAATGACAAAATTGTTCTATTTTGATGTACGTTGTTAAGAAAATTGTAAATAACATGCAATTTTTGTTAAAAACTTGTAAGTTTTAGTATTTTTTATATTTAGTACATACGTTGAAATATATTGTATCCAAATTTCAAAGTTGTAGTACAAACGTTACGTCCTGAAGAGCTCATTGATAACGATATACTACAATAATGACAAATTGCTGTATTTTGGTGTACGTTTTCAGTAAATCATGAATAACTAGTTATGTTTGTTAAAAACTTGTAACTTTTAGTATTTTTTATATTTAGTACATACATCGAAGAATATCATATTTAAATTTCAAAGCTGTAGTGCAAACGGCACGTCCTGAAGAGCTTGTTGAAAACGATATACTAGAATAATGACAAAATTTTAGTATTTTGATGTAAGTTTTTAGTGAATCATGAATTACTTCTAATTGTTCTAAAAAACATGTAACTTTTAGTATTTTTTGTATTTAGTACATACATTGAAGTATATCATATTTCAATTTTAAAGCTGTATTACAAACGGTACGTCCTGAAGAGCTCGTTGATACCGATGAATAATAAAAATTGTAGATAGATGATTCTTGAACAACATTTCCTTATATATACATATATATATATATATATATATATATATATATATATATATATACAACATACTCTCTATTACCATATAAAGCCAGCAGTTTAATTTATTACAGAACTTTATTAAATCCCATATACAACTCGAACTCAATCATATATTTACACAACAAATTTCTTTTTTCCTTATTTGTTTAAACAAAAACTTGTTTATAACTCATATGGTTCGTATTAATTGATATCGAAGGTAAAAAATAATATGAGGATTATTATTGCATAAATATTCTTAAGAAATGAGATTTTTTAAGGAAAATGTGGAAACTGGTAGTAGAATATAATATATATATATACATATATATATATATATATATATATATATATATATATTAATAATTATCTTCTACTACCAGTTTCCACATTTTCCTTAAAAAATATCATTTCTTATGAATATTTATATATATATGTAAAATTAGATTTTTTTGTTCGACGTTGAGACATATCTTGAATATTGATTTTCAGCCAATCGTCGAAATAAAAGAAAACAAATAAATAAAAATATTTATTTATAATATACGTTTCGACACGAATTCTGTGCCATCATTCAGCAACTTTTGTTAATCACCATCTAAAAGAATATTTACAAAGTTCAAAAAAATAAATGGAAATTTTTATTTAAAATAATTAAATAATAAAAGATATACATACCACATTAAGAAAAATTCTTTTTTGATAATAACACATAGAAAATAAACCATACATATAAAATAAATATAGAAAATAAATATATTAAGTGAAAACCTGTTTTGTTTTTAATTTTAAAACTGAAAATTAGTGTAATGCAAGTTCTGAGCAAATCAAACGCATATGACGAAAAGAAATACAATTTTGAAAAATAAAACATAAAATCAAATAGATTATGAAATACAATAGTCAAAAATTTGGAAAATTATTTTTGAAAAAATTGATAATATTATGATAAGAGTCATGTACTAGAAAAGCAAAATTTCGTCTAAAAAATAAATACAGAATCAGCAAATTTTCTGAGGTCAACATTCTTTTCCTTATGTAAAATAATAGGATTTTCGGTATTGAAAGAGTGGTTTAAATTAATGATATGTTCCGAAAACATTGTTTTAAACTGATTTTTACTGATAGTACTTTTAAATACCGGTTGTCAAAAATTTGTTTTCCTGGAAATTCGTTCTGTTTTCGGAGTTTTAGGGGAAACTCACTGTTGCAAACAGACGGTTATGAAGTCAGACAGTACATAAAGGTGCAAAAAGTAATAAATTTTACATATATCTCCTCTACGATCTCATCATCTGTGAAACAATCTTATGCCTACATTTACTTATGTTGCGTTCTTATATGAAAAGTAACTAAGTAGTTACATAACATAATATTACTCACATATTATCTTAAAGATCACTAGATTAACTTGTTCGACTGTATATATACATAATAATATATATACATTATACATATATATATATATATATATATATATATATACATATACATGTTGTTCAAGAATCATCTATTTTTCCAATTAGAATCCATGTTGCACAATAGTGCATAATGCAAGTATATGCAGGTACCCTTTGCATGTTGATAGAAAATGTAGGAAATGATAAAAATATCACAAATTAGATATTGGGCAATGTGGAATTTCTATATTATTACCGATGTTATGTTTACCGATGATTAAAATTAAAATACTAAAGTTTGAAGAAATAGGTTCTTATAATGTTTATTTCATAAATTTATCAAAAAAACGTGACGAACAGTCATAAAGACGAACATGTTTGTTGAGTTCTGGGACACCCTGCACATGTATATTGGTAAAAAATTTAAATTGTATTTTTAAGCATTTATTTTTATTTTCTTAGTCTAACAATACCTATTTTGAATTTGAATTATTTAATAAACTGCAAAACTTGTACTCGTGGCTGCAAAAATTAAATGTTATGTCACGTACTTCTTTTATTTGCCATGAATAAAATAATATTTAAAGAGTTGTTTATAAGGATAAAATGCATTTTATACAGTACTCGTAACAAAATTCTGCTAACGATTATCATATAACATGTATTTCTTATAAGATACCTCTACCATATTTACGTATGCTTAAACTCTAAATTCTAGGTCGTACGCCTTTTAACTAACTATATAGTACGCCTAATACGCCTACAACCCTACAACCCTACATACACAATACGCTTAATACTATATCTTATCTTACACCTATAATGTTCCTTAAACGCTAATTTTTCCGAACCCTACCGGGAATCGAACCCGAGCCCCCTGCGTGGCAAGCAACGACCTTAAC